TTCACTGTTGGGATGGTATTTCCTGAGGCGTTTAGCTTTATCTTGTCTTCACCAGATATAACACTGGTGTTCACTTAGCATTCACACTAAACAGTTTTTTGGTTTTTTTTCATTTGCTCTCAGAATCACAGAACTGACGTTGGCAAACTCCAGTAGTGGGTTCCCAGGGCGTCTCCTGACCGTGACTCTTATTGTCTCATTGCTGGGTTTGGAATTTGCTATCAATGTAAGGTTGAAGCTAATTCTAAAATGCAGAGTTTCAACAGAAAGAAAAAAGCATTTGTGGTTATTTATCCTGAAGGATAAATGCAATGTGTTTGTCATGAAGAAACACTGCATCTAACATGTTCACATCCAGAGCAACCGTGAGTAAAGCAGCGCTTTCTGAAGCCATGACGCATAATCATCCCTGTTGGCTGTGTGTGTTTAAAGGCTCTGTGTGTTTGAAGGATGTTGAGTGTGTGTCAGAGGCCAGTGGTGGTGGGAGGACTTTTGTCAGCAGGGAGGCTGAGAACACAAAGACTCAGGCTGGATGGTCAGGATGCTGCTCTCCAGAGAGCCACCGGTTCAGAGGTCAGCTTAGGCTCTTTTAGGGAAACACGAGTGTGGATGGAGGGTGTCGGGGTGTGTGTTTTGCGCAAACGCCGATGTACGAGCATGTGTATGTGTCCGCGTGTGCTGGGTGGGGTTACGCACAGCTCAAAATGGATCCCAGTGGACTGGCATTTTCAGGACAGGTCCCTGTGGATGGAGAGAGAAAAGGGAGGGAGATGATGATGAGGGTTGGTGGCGGTTGGACCGATGGGGTCCAGCGGGGATGGAGCAGCCTGCTAATGAAGAGCCATCTGAGGCCTCCATTCACCTTGAACATGGGCCACTGCAGCTGCCCTGACCTTGGCTTTGATCCACAAAGATGCTTGACCCCCACCATTCCCCCAGAGCTACCTCCCTGCCATCTGGACAGCACACATGCATATGTATACATATGTGCACACACCCACAGATGCATATGCATGTACACGTATGTTGACCCGTGTATGCATGCACACATGTCTGCACAGGTAGCTATCGTGGGACTCTGTCTGCGTCGTTGGGTGACACACCTGCACTTACTTGCTACACGCCAGCCATAAGTCACTGTCGTCGTCACCAGTAATGACAAAAGAAAGAGAGGGCAAGTCGGGGACAGGGTGAAAAAGGACTGTTCCTCTCAGACACATTATTGGATTGGATTTGTGCTTTTCTCTTTATAGCTACCACTCCCACCCCACCCTCATAACTCCATAACGACAACCTCCCTGCCTCCACATATCAGTCTCCTAACTAAAGTTGTTTTACATTAACTCAGACCTGGGAGGGTTTTTTTTCTCGTTACTATCCCAGTGGTTGCCACGCTCCATAGACACTACATTGGTTTCCCTCTCTTCTCCCTAATAAGAATGCAGCCGCTTGGAACGTAGGGGTTCCTTGGAAATTCCCAAAGTGGTGCAACATGCTCTCCTCCCACACACTTGCGTGTCTTGCTTGTCCGCCCAGTTCAGCTGTAAATGACAGTTATGTCAAGGGTGACTTGAGTTGCAGTCCATCTGTGGAAATGTAGACCTGTCTGAATTTTCCTTTTTATATTCCATCCCCGGCTTTATGAGATTTTTTTATGGCACAAAATATAGTTGAGCCTTCTGTGATACAGTAATACAGTTCATCAGGAAAGCTTTCATAGCAGGTAACATTTTCCGAAAGTGTAGTGTTTTATATGTTATCATCCACCTTTCCAGCCTCGCAGACATGAAGTATTTTCCAGGCAGTCATCAGCTGTAGCTTCAGCTTATGTTTTTCCCCAGAAGTAGGTCAGTGTCAGCGGGTTTGGTGTCCATGACATGGACATAGTCTTTGCGTCACTGTTCTGGACGTGTCCCTTGATTAAGTTACTCCATGGAGGTAGCAGCATCTGTGCATATGCAGGGGAACAAGCTGTGCCCATGGCTTAGTAATTAGAGACAAGCATAAAAATGAGAGAGTGCCAGAGAGAAAGCAAGATCACCCCTCACTGTGCATCAGGTCTGATTTCTGTGCAGCAATTTTTTTTTTTTTTACCCACAGATAGCATCGTACATTTACTTAAGTGAGCTGATTATGGCTCTCGCTTTCACTCATCTCCAAAATGCCTTTTATTAGTCTCCCTCCCTCACCACCTGTCTTTCACCGCCGCTGCCTGTCATATTTTCTCTCGTCTCTTGATAATTCTACACTATCTCTCTTCATTTTATTCTTTGAAGTTTTTTTTCTCACCCACTATAATCCATTTGTCTAACTTGGATAGAGGGCAGCGGAAGGAAGTAGTGGAGGAGAGGCGTGTGTCAGAGTCGGGGAGAGCGTCTGCTCCAGCTGGAGTCAATATTTGCTTTAGGAATCTCAATAACAGGCCTGCAGTCATCTGCATCTCTGATAATGGACAGCCATATGGCTCTGTTGACCCACGCTGTGCCGAGGTTCTCTCTCCCCATCCTTCCTTGTTTTTCATTTATCGGCTTCTTTCTAAGTTGTCTCATTTCTTTTCATCAAGTCCTTCCTTCCCCTATATTTTGTCCTCTACTTATCACCTCTCTGGGCACATTTTGTTCTTTTTACAAACATCCTTTCTCTCTATCTGTCATCCACAAAAACCTGGATATGACCCACCACACAGAGCTGTGACCCAAGTTACCATGGCAGCAGAGCGCGGGATGCCCACTCTTTGTCCAACACTGTTTCCAGCAAGTGACAGAAAACAGTGACGTTGCATGTCTGGCTATGACTGGAAGACAGATATTGAGTTCATGGGGGAACAGCGCTTACGTGCTTAAAGTCATGCTGCTCTCCTTCTCTTAAATGGAGGTGCTGGCCTTGTGGAGAATGGTCAGTTAGATGCAGTGTGTTAGTTGACATGTCCTACATCCCACTTGTTTTTCTTTAACTATTTTATTTTTCCCTCTTTCTTCACTTTTCCTACATGAGTTGGGAAATGTGAGCTTTTATTTCAATAGATTTCTTTGTGTCCAAATCTTTCTGTTTATCTAAGACTCTCATTTTGCAGAAATGAAAACAACCAAAACAGATCACGGTAGACTTTTAATGTTTGAATGTTCAGTGGAGTAGATGAAGTCTTTGATTCTGGAGAAAGATTGTTGATATTTAGATTGTTAGCAGCATGTTTAGCCAGATTTACCATCTCTTTCCCAAACTGTCCCCTTGACCTCATCTAACCCCTCCTCGTACTTTCCCCCGTGCAAAGGAACAAACGTGCATGAGCTCAAACGGACATGAGACATGCTGGAATCGTGCTGCGTGGATCAGTCTGAGTCACTTTGTTTTTTTCCCATTTACAGAGCCAGAGCTTCATATGAACACCTGATTTTTTTTCCTGCACACACAGATTGCACAGCTAGTGGACTGTAAGGAGATATTCACTGAATTTAACTGTATTAGATTGGAATCGCTGACTTTACCTTTAACTTTTTATATAGAACAAGTTGAGTATTTCTGTTATTTTCTCAGTAGCATTTATCTCGTACGTGTCAGAAAAATACTACTAATAATTTTTAATCTTTTTTGTTTGTTTGTTTTTACTGTCTTTCACTTTATCCTTTGTCTTATTCCGTGCATTTCTGTCTGACACTCTGAGCAGCTTGGCCGTCGTACCCTCTGGTGTGTCCCGGCTCAGGTGCCCGTCATCCCCGCTTTGCCACGGTTTCCCTCAAAGCCATTGGTCATGGCTGCCTTGGCCCCTGCTGTGGCGGCATGTGCCCACGGCAGGCCCCCTGCCCAGTCACTGTCTCGTCCTATCTATCTAACCCAGACCAGAGCCTCTCGGCCCAGTCCATCCTATCTCAGCTCAGCCTGGTACAGCCTTGGCGGCAGCAACAGCCTAGTGTCACTCCACCCTGGCAATCAGAATGAGATGAGGGGGAGGTGGGCATCAGCGTTCAGTAACCAGAGCTGTGTGTGTTTTAGAGCGAGAGTGCATGTATTTGTCAAGCAATTTGTCAGGTGTCGCCTGTGAAGGAAACATGGCCACAACAGACAGCTGAGAATAATCAGACTCATTCTCAAACATGGGCGCACACACACACACACACACACACACACACAGACACACACACACACACACACACTGCTAAATCTCAGAGTGCTTACTATCATTATGCCATCAGATAGACCTTTTTACTCCAATAGTTCCCTACACCATATTTTATCCAGCACTTGCCTCCATTCCACAACAGACTTAGCACGATATATCTATGATAATGATATGATAATGGCCATCAGAATGTTTTCCACCCTCACCCAGCAGCCATTTTGCAGGCTTTTTTTTATTTATTTATTTATTGGAGCTTTCCCATTTCAAATCCAGCCATCCATCCTGCATGCTGGCTGCCCAGGCCCCAGTCACTGCTTGTCACTCTGAATTTCAAATGGCTCCAATTTTCCCCCTGATGGCACGGAGAAGTGGCAGGCAGCACATCGGGGAGGGTGGTCCTAGACATGCTGCCTGCAGCAGGGGTTCTATTAGAGAGAAGAGAGGGACGAGAGGCAGGAGAGGAGAGGTTTTGAGCATCACGCCAGTAGTGATGTATTCTGTCTTTCTTTCTTTTTTTTTTTTTTTTATGATTATTTTGGAGACTGCGTTCTCATTTGGTGCTGTGTGGCATGGCTGATTGTTCCATCTTTGCTTCTGGCTGGGTTGCTGATGGTGGAGCTGTCCTGTCCGGTAAAGCCAGCTCTCACTCTCAAAGCTCACCCTCACAGCGTGGGCAGTGCAGCACTGAAAAAATGTAACTGTTGCGATTGTTTGTTCCTAACTGTTGAACTGTGCCATACATAAATTGATGTTTTTCTTCCTGAAATGTAATTATTTTATTAGAAATAATCAGTTAGATCACAGGTGAAGGCTTCACCCGTTGGCTTGTTGTTTTCTTCTCCCATATGCCATTATGTTTTCTCCTTTAACAACACCTAACCAGCTACGAGGAGCGAGCACTCTACTTGGAGGCCATTGTTCAGAACCACAGAGAGGTCATGACCTTTGAAGACTTTGCCTCACAGGTCTTCTCCCCCTCTCCTGGCTATCCGATAAGCGGGACAGGTGAGAAATGAACCACACTGCACCTCCATCCTCTTTCCACTCCATCTCTCTTTCTGTCTCTCCATTTCACTGCTGCTTCATTACTTTTTGGGCATTTTTTCCTCTCATGCCCTCTTCCCCTTTTCTTCATCATGTCTTTTCTTACCTCTCTTTAAATATCAGTCTTTTCTCCTCCTTCACAGCACACCTGTTTCCCCCCCTCTTTCGCCTCCTCCTTCACCCCCTCATTCTCTCCGCTCTTCTTCCACGCCCACGCTCACTGATGAATATCAAACGACGGGGCCCTGGCTCTTCACGCTGTCCGACCGACTTCAAACACTCTGCCTTCTCCACTTCCCCAAGCCCCACTCTCACTACTTTGTTCATCTCTTCTTTTTTTTTTTTTCTAACTGCATCTTTCCATGCAATTACTTTCCTATGAATATAAGCAGCCTTTTTAAATGGCAGTTGCAGAGTGTGTGTGTGTGTGTGTGTGCGCGTGCCTGCATGCATGTGTGTGTCTTCATGAGCTCATTCACCAACACTTAAGAGATCCGACCGACAAACAGCTCGCGGATGTCAGCACAGCACTCTTATCAGTGCGTGATGAATAGAATGGAAAACGTGTCTTATCTTGTTCTTCCTACTTGTACCAGCTCTGATCGATCTGCAACAGCACTGAAATCAATACAGGATTGCACTTTTCCACTCTATTGGATCCCGACACACGTTCTGTTTTGACAAGAACGGCGCTCCACAATACCACACCATAGATGTCTTGTCATTTTCAAATCTGTCAGGGCTTATATGTTTCCAAGCTGGTTTAGAGGGTATGCAATATTTCTGTCGTGTTATGTGAGCATGTGAAAATTAACTGTCTGCAATTTTTTTCTTTTCTTTTTGTTGTTTTTTTGTTTTTTGAGCGCCTACCTGTCTTATGTGTGTGTCGGACTTCAGATACTCAGACAGCAGGTGTGATATTCAGGCAGGCAAGAGGAGGTCAGCCGCATTACCATACTGTTGGGCCATCTCTCCTGCAGAGGTGTAAAATCTCCCCAGACTGACCTGTAGTCACCTCCTCTCATCCTCAGCACAAAAACAGCACACAGCGAAGATACAGGGGAGGGGGAGAGGAAAATCTTGTAGCTGCCCAAAGCTTGGTCCTTTATGTCTGTTAGCTGATGCTGTGGACTATTTCAGCCATAGATTCCTTTGTTGTGGCTGGTTAGAGAAATGTTAGAGAGGTTAGCCAGGACTGAAAATAGAACAGCATGGGATGCGTGCGGCGGCTAATGCAAGAGGCTGTCACATAATGAAGTCTATACGGTCGCTCATTCATTGTAAAAGGACAATTTGTATTTCTCCAGAATCTCTGTATGTTAACAGATTCATAGAATACGGTGAGGCTATGTGTGTGTCTGTCCATTCATGTGTTGTCCAGAACACATGTGCCTCGTGTAGGATGCTCTAACGCTGTTCTGCACAGCGTTGGAATAGTGCTGTTGAGTAATTTTACAAATTATCTTCAACAGAAAGCGGATTTTGACGCACTGGTCAATCCATGTTTTTAAAGCCTTCTTCAGAGAAAATCTATTTTTTTACCTTGTTAACATCCCATATTTTTAGATGCTTGAAGAAACAACATGAACTAATAAAGCAGTCGATGTCGTGGCTGAACTTTTCCGCCTTAAAACCACAACAGTCTCAAAAAAATAGAATCTGACTCGAGCATTTTTTATACGTAACAAACCTGAGAATCAATCCTGTCCACTTGCAGGGTGGGGCTTCCTGTGTCGTTTTTCTCCCCCAGAATCGGTTTTTGGTTCGAAACCATATTGCCAAAGTACTTCACCATCACAACTTGCCATTGTGTAGTTTAGAGTAGTTTTGCAGTGTTTGAGCAGAGCCACGGTCCAGTTGTGCTTGAGTTATGGATCGTGACCGAGAAAGGGTGATTGAAGATAGATGGAAGGACTTAAAAAATCTCCAAACTCTAGAGGAAGCAATGGTGTCAAAATACATCTAAACCATTTTATGATAGGAAGAAATTATAGTTATGGAAATAAAATTAAATACATAATTGTGATACACTGATGAGTTTTTTGGGGGTTAAATCTATGACTAGAGAGGAATTTTAAAACTTTTAAAAGCATTGTTCAAACCCATGGAAATGTGTGTCAGTTCTGTTGGACACCTAAAGCATCCAAACAAGGATAGATTTTGTCAGTGTAATTAAAAGCTGATGCTACATGATCTAGAATATTTGTTTATTGTATGAGTTGATAATTTCACTTTAAAATGCAGCAACATAGCTGTGCAAGGGCAGATACACACAAAATGTGCTATATATTAGGGACGGAACAGTTCATCAAACGCTGTCCACATTGCACAAGCTGCAGTTGTTTGATTATAATGCATCACAAAAATACCAAAATAAAAGTATTGTGGTGCTACAGAGATGGCCTGGCCTACAGAGCATGTGCACAAGATGCAAAGGAAACATGCTTGTTTGGTACACGTTAGAGGAAAAATGTTATAATCTTTATATTTGATTCATTCAGTGTGTATGCAAATCAGTCATATTGTTTTTTCTTTCCTAAATGAAAAAAGTTTAGGAGTCCTCTGTGACTACTGGGGCTTCAACAAGATAGACAAAATATGAGATCTGCAAAAAGTAAAACTTTTTTTTTTTTAATTTAAAATACACATTTTTAAAATTCCAAGTTGATTGGTTCAGCTTGTTTTTTTTTGTTCTTGTTTTTTATTGTTACTGTCAAAGAAAACCAACAAGTGTTTTCATGTGAGAAGCTGGAACCAGTGATAGTTCTGCATTTTTCTTTAGAAGTTATTGTTCCATCATCAAAATTGTTCCAGACTATTTGATATTTTAACTCTGGCAATACTCTCAGTTCCTGCAGTTACTGCTGTGTATTTTTCTCAATTCTCTTTGCCAAACAGTAGAGCTACTTCACTTCTTTTCAAAAACCATTAGCATGGTATGTGTGATGCTTCAGACCTCATACGCTGTATATGAAGCATCTCTTGTGTTGCTGTCTTCCATCGTGGCTGATCCTCTCCTATCTCATCAGACATATAGCTTCGATGTGGCTGTGATGGCTGGCTGACACTGCTGCTCATTCTCACCCTTCTCCGATGTGCTACAGCTCTCCCGTGTCTTTTGTTTGTGCAGGAGTGTCTGTGTGTGTGTGTGAGTGTGTGTGTGTTTATAAGCGAGTTTGTCCATCCATCTGCCTATCCGTCCATCCTGCTCTGGCTCCCATTGCTGCCACTAACATGTCATCCATGCTCCATGACAGCGTGCAGGCGTTGGCCGGGGATGGTTTGGGACATGGAGTACCCCTGGGCCAAACTGGACTGTAAGACTCTGCCTGCTTCCTCCACACTAGGCATGACGCCCCCCACCCCCCCCCAACCACATCCCGCTAACATCCATCCATTCATCTAGCTTCCTGTGAGCCCCTGCTATCATGAAATAACTAGAGGTTGCGCTTGATTTAGCCCTTTTGTAAATGCAGAAATGCAGAGCAGGTCTTGAATTTAAGTAGAGGTCCTGCATGCTAATTGCTAAATAAAGCGCTCCTGCAGTGTTTTACCAGTGTGCTGTGAGGCTTTCAAGCCCTCTCTTGTGAATCATCCATCTCTTTACCCTCTCGGCTAACCCCTCCGTAGCCCTCGTCCTCCGTGAATGTAGCCTCACTTTCAACCCTGCAACCTCCGTCCAGCATCAAGGCTTCCTGCATGAGCTAGTCCATCTGTCGTACGGACCCAAGACTTCCATCCTCAGTGCTGTGTAACACCTTTTTTTTTTTTTTTGTCATTTTGTGATCATTTGCTGTACTTTTTAAAATAAGCAACTGCACATGAAAAGAAAAACAATTCTCCTCTCTGGATAAAACTACATAAAAGCTCAACGTGACCCCCCAAGGTGCCCCAGCATCTTTTACTCTCTCACCCTAACCCTCTCTGCTCCTAACATTGGTGGTAAATGTTTCTCAGCCCGTTGTTTCCATGTGAACTGCCCGCCATCCGTGCTTCGGATTTCAAAAAAAAAAATGCTCTCGCTTTTGAAATCTGTGAATGGCGAAATTTGTCAGGCACCATCAGACATTGTGGTCGTCGAAGGCGTCCTCAGAGAAACAACACTTGTTGATTAACTCATCACCCAAATCAGTTAACCTTCTCTGACTTTTTCAAACCTCTCCAGTGACGACTAACCGCGACGCCGCACGCGCTGTCTGAGCGTCCGCCTCCACCCGCGAGACGCCAGGTTCCTCAGCAGCGTTGTGTTGTGTTCTGCTGTCGTATGGTGTGTGTCCACTGCTCTCTCACATGATGCTCTACTCTGTTTTTCCCTTTTAGATTAAAAATATCTTAAAGGTCCAAATACTGTATGTGGCGAAGGTAAGCCCCGAGTCAGACCGGAAGCTTGTTTTTTTGGGTCCAGCAGCCTACCTACCCTTCGCTCGATCACTCATCCTGGCTGTGTCGTCCCCCCCCTCCTCCTCCTTACAATCCCTCCTTTTTTCATTGAGTACTAACCAAGCTTTATTTACTGAGCGCTGTGACAAAGGGAAAGGGACAGAGAAACCAGGCTGTTTATTTGGGGGGGTGTCCTACTGTTTAGGCCAGGCTGGTAATTGAGAGTGATGCATGGTGGGGACAATTAGCACCTGACTAAGTAGCAGCATGAACAATACGGCTACACTTCTGGCCCTCGCTTCTGCATGTGGCGCGCCTTTATCTCTTCCCCCAGCAAACACTTTTCTCCTTTCTTTCTTTCCTTTTTTTTTTTTTTTTTCTCCCCTTCAATCCCTCCTACCCCTCCCTTCTCCTCATTTCCTCCTGTTGGAGTGTGCCTGTTTGCCTGGGGCAGACTCTGAGACTAACACCTGCCGCACTGGAAGACGTCTTTGTCATCTAAAGCCTTGTTTGAACTGCTGCAGTGGGGACCAATGGGATAGCAGGGCCATTTAAAGACTCTCTTTGTTTTCTTTCTCCCTCCGTCTCTCCGTTCTTCTTTTTCCATCTGAAATGAACCTTCACCGTAAGGCAGTCTCGGCCGAGCGAGGAGCGGAAGTTGCCGGCTTGTAATGATGATAATAATGACACATTAGCCTCTTCTGGATCTGGGTTATTTTTTCACTTAGTAACTTACTAGGAAAATTAATTCTTACATAAGACCATACAGTGAAGAACATTATTTCGAAACAGATGCAACCGCAGTCATTAAGTGCCTCAGTGGGAGCGATGACTGCGTGGAGCAGCGTGCTTTAATGGCTGCTAAACGAAAAGGGAAGTAGGTTGTGTGGGAGGTGAACTTTACCGCACTGTTTTTTTTTTTGTGTATATTACCTTTAATAGGTGGTTGCCTCCCTCTGGGCTAACATTAGAGTGGATGTTTAATTTGTAACACAAAGTGTTTACTGTAGGAATGAGTAGAAGAATACGGGAATGCAGAATTTGTTCCATCCATAAGGCCGCCCACATTTTTAGCCCAGCCCGTCCCTTTTTCTTTTTTTTTTTTTTTTTTTCATATTCATATGCAGATTCGAGAATCCACGTTCAGACCCCCCTCACCTCCCCTCCAGCCCGCTCACAATACACACACCCAGCGTTTCATCCGCAGCCCAGCCTCCTCTCCCAGTGAGCCGCGGCCCTGGATGCTGCCGGTGTCCACTGTGCTGCTGAGTGTCTGTTACTCCAGCCATCTGCCATTCCTTTTAGCCGCTGCAACTTGAGATGCCTCCGAAAAAATGGCAGGAAATAAAAGGATAGGAAAGAAAATAGGCAACCAGATGCCATCTCAACAAAGCAGAAAAGTTGTTTAAACTCGAGGCATGGGGGCCGAGGGGGGAGGAGGAAGGAGGGAGGGGAGGAGGGCCCCGTAGCTGGGGTTTGGTCAGGGGGCACAGCGAGGAAGTCGACGTTCACAATACTTGATTGTCCTCGCCAGCGTTTCATGCCCACCTCCCAGCTTATTGCTGTTTGCCATCCCGTAATCATTGATGTGAAGTTTTTGTGGAAAAGGACAATGTTTGACAATGGGAAGGCTCCACATGTTCACAACAAGAGCATAATGTGTAATTTTATTTTCATTCAAAGCATTCTGCTGTCACACTGTGAACTGAATACTTTTTTTTTTTTTTTTTTTTTAGCCACAAAGGTTGCCTCTCGTTTTTTTTTCTTTTTATATCATATAAGCATCTGGAATTGGGAATGAAGGTGGCTTCTCTTTTAACAAGCTTTGCTCCTCTACAGCATGTGAACAAGGCATGTATGCACCGTCTTGATTCTAATGGATTCAGGAGTAGAATTAATTCAAATCCTAACACTTGGTTTTTGGTTGTTTTTTTACAGTTTGCATTGTAACTTTTGTGAATGTTGGTGAAAATCCTATGAACTGGATAATCTTGGTTTTGGGAGCAGCCACATGCATGACAAAGCATGCCGGGATATACAACAATCAAACAAAGCCCAATGAGCCCCTTGGCTGCCACGTCTAACCATCTCCGTTTCTCTCCATCATGTTTTTTTCTTTCCCGTCTCTCTCTGCCTCCATCTCTCTTTCTCTCTATCAGGGTCCTTCACCGGCAGCACGAGCACCGAAGCCGGGAACACGACGACGGACTCGGCCGACCAGGTGTCTCCCACGATGCCCCGTGCCACAAAGAACAGAGTTTCCGGAAAACTCCGCCGATCAGCCAGCGCTATAAGCAAATCCTCCAACTGAGCTCTTCAAACCCGTCCCCCTTTTCCCAGAGTGCAGCCTTTAATCTCTTCTCGAAGAACCTCACACACTCAGCCGTGACTGCAAGAGTTGTTTTTTTTTTGTTGGCGTGTTTTTGTTTTCCTTCTGTGTTTTATTTCTCGTCATAAAAAAACATGTAACTGGAGCATATTGCAATTTTTAATTTATGTGGCAATCGTTGATTTTTGTTCGATACATTTCAGTTTCTTGTGGTGTTTAATCGAGATGGACTTGAGACTAAGCTATTTATGTTCATCCTGGTGGTTTCAGCGTAAGAACGAGCAGCATAGGAAGACTGGACCGAGAAGTCTTAAAAGCAACCTGTGATGTAAATGTCATTTTTATTCTCCTTTTTCTAGTGCACTGTGGACGCGCTAGAAAAAACACTTGGAGTTCTTACTATAGTAAGGGTATGGGAGGCTGCTTTACCCTGTTTCTGCATCTCATCTATCTCCACCTGCATTATAACTAAGCACTGAATGACGCAGCTGTAAAAGACATCATGCTCAAACTGCACAAGAGATTGGTTCCCGTTTATAAATGTGTCTGCCTTTTGTACCTCTTCTTTTTGCGTCGACCACGGCCTTTCTGTGTCAAAGATAGCACTTGAGTTAGCGACAGAATGATGCTGAAGATCCTGGACAGTAGCACCAGTTTGGACTGATTTTCCCACAGTGGAAAGGAGAGAAAACTCTTGATACATAGGGAATGCCTGTCCTCGAGGATCCATACTCGCTGCACAGACTCCAGAGTCCATGTAGCAGTCGGAGGCTTTTTAATTGTTTTGAACCCAGAGTGGACAATCAATGACGTCTTTCTAACTTAAGCTGAAACTAAATTTGTTTCCTTTTTTTTTTTCTTCACCGCTCTCATTTTCCTTTTTAAATGAATTCCAATGGATTGTGTCATGATTTGATTTATGCAACTCTGCTGGAATGAGAAAAGACTGCGTTTGTAATTGTTTTCTGATGTCGTTAACATAGGCTCATGTCCGGTAATTGAATAAGTTCCTCCTGTCTCTTTCCTCTGCTATCAGTTTCCCTGTCCTGCGAAGCGAAGACATCGACATTCCAACGTTCCCAACCGACCATTGTTTTTTTTTTTGTTTGTTTTTTTGCACTCGCTCTCATCAGTTAGCATTGAATGTGTCTCTTGGTTCTCAGATGTAAATCGCTTTAAATTTTATTTGTTGATGTCTGTTTGCTAGATGTATATAGAGAGGACTATTTGATGAATTATTATTTTTTGCTGTTGTGTTGTACTTATGTGTTCATGTGCTGTTTAGAGGAAAAATGCCGCCAGAGCCTCAGGTGAATCTTAACTCCATGCACTGGTGTGTGTGTGTTTGCGTGTGTGTTTGTGTGCATGTGTGTGAGTTTGTGGGGGAGCTTCTCCTAGTGCCTGTCTGTCCTCTTAGATGATGTCCCGCATCACCTCCGCACCCCATAATCACATTTACCTCCGCCGTGCGAGACAAACCGCGGCTGCCCTGCATCTCATCTCCTCGTTAGCCGTCTTAAACAAAGCGTTTCTTCCTCCCCTTTGCGCCTCTAAAGGTCAGTGTCTCGTGCTTCCCACAAAAAAAACAACAACAGATGGATTTGGAATTACGGGGTTCTCTGTTTAGTCTTCACTTATTGGCGGTGCCCCGTCTTTATCTGTGAATGGAATCGAGTGGCACCAACTCCTCCTCCTCTTTTCCCATGATCCCCCTCTCCCACCGTTGCCGCCTCCTGAGGCTGCAGGAGGGGAGGCTGGGTTTTAGGTGGCATGCCAGAGCTGAACTCTCTACAGCCCTCCTAGCAACAGCCAGGCCCTCACTCCTGCAACCTGCCCGCTCGGGTTGTCATGGTAGCCAGGTGTCGTCCTCCCTCCCTCCCTACCACCACCCACCCCTCCACACACACACTATAGACTCACACCCTCTGAGGGCTCCACCCAAGCTGCAACACTATCCCCATCTGTTGCACTACTATGCCTTACTTTCCCCCATGCTCCTCTGTCATTCTTTCTCACATCTCACCTCCTTTTTTGTTTGTTCATTCCCCGAGCAGAATATGGGGAGTCCAAACAGCAGGAGGATTGACAGATCTGTTTCTGTGCTTTTTTTTTTGTTTGTTTTTTTGAAGAATGTATAGATTTATAGGCCTGGATCACATCTATGGTTTTTATTTCCCCCCCCCCCAAAGCCACTTGAAGGAACCACCCAGGATGTCGATCTTAAAGATTGTAGGTTATAGAAAATGTCTGTCCAAGGGGTTTGTGCTCCCTTTTTTTTGGTGGCTTAGGAGGCGTTAGTTCGGACCAAGACTTGTATGTCTTATACGCGTGAAGAAAACGAGCTAGTCTTAGTCTGTTATTTCTTTCTTCTGGTTTTAGAAATCCTTGTACATTGTGTCAAATTTGAGGGCGCCGTTGCCCTCCGACTCTAAATATATTAATGCCTGTAATATAATCTTTGTATAAGAGAAAGAGGAAAAAAAAAAAAAGCTTGAAAATTTCATCATTACTTGTCAACATATCAAAACTGTTTTTAATGACCGAAGTCCTGCTATCTTTATTAGAAATGTGAAAATTGAAACATTTCATTAAATCAATTTGAAATTCTACACCTGGTTCGTTGTTTTCTCTCTCAGCTATCTGATGTGTGAGAGATTTGAAGCAGTGAGTTTTATCAGTGTGTGTGTGTGTGTGTGTGTGTGTGTGTGTCTGTGTCTGTGTGTGTGTGTGTGTGTGCTGTTACCATGGGCTGTCTGACCCCGGCCCGGCCACGCTAACAGCAGCAGCAGCAGCAGTAGGGGTAACCTGACCCTCCTCCCATCTGTCTCCCCTGCTGCTCAGCCCTGCTTACAGGAGGCCGGCATAATGGAGCCTCACCAGGAGGTACAGGTGCAATGGTTGTAGCACCTACGGGTGCCCCGGCTCTCCTCGGCCACATAAAGACGCCACAAAGGCACTTGACCGTAATTGGAGTCTTAAAACTGTGTGTGTGTAAGAAAGAAAACCTAATGTTGCCTCATTTTCACTGTGGCTCTGCAGTGTTTGCCTCAGTCGTTGACTCTGAGATAAGTTACCACAGAACAGGCTGACATTGTGATTACTGCCAAATTGTATTATTTCATGTGTTACACTGCTGGCTGTAGTCAATTTTCACTCTTCAAGTATCTCTCTGTCTTGATATTGTCACTGTTTGCCTCAAGGGGGAGTGACACTCATTAAAAAAAATAAAAAAAAGTTGTTCTCTTTGCAGAGCTGCGCAGTATTAATAAGCAGAAGAAGCAAGAAAAGAGACCAAAGTTAGTGTAAAGGTGAGATTTATTTATTTTATTTTATTATTTTTTTGTAGCATGAGGTTTATTAAGACTTCCAGTTAAGTTTCTCCCCCAGTGATGGAGGTCAGCTCTGTGCTGACGCTGAATTACAACTAACTTAATGCTTTATGGCTCCTGCAGGTCAGATATGAAGCCAGCTGTGCCCCGATGCGTCCTAAATCACCTGAAAACCAACTAAAATCGAGCTGTGTGAGTTTTCCAAAGCAGACAGATGTTTTACAGCTGCAGAGGTGAGCTCTGATCCACCACCTCTTTGTCCCCCTGTCATGTCCTGACATGGTATTAAGGAGGGAATTTATGATTAGGCCCTAAGTGCTTCTCTATGGCAGCGAAAAGGCGTCTATTGAGCCACTGCGGCAATGATTTATGGAGGATGAGTCTGATAAACGGGGCATCGGAGGCAAAGGTTTGGCCAGGTGGGGGTTAGGAGGTTTCCTGGTGCTGGTGAGGACGACTTCATCAGACTGGCATCATGTTTGGAGCTGAATGTTGGCGTTGGTAAAACTTTTAAGGTGTGAAATTAAAGTATTTCTAAGTTGCTCGGTGACCTCAGGAGGCTTCACTGGGAGAAGCAGATTTTAATTAATTGACGAAGAAAAAAAAAAGAGAAAAAAAGCTCAGATTCAAACTGCGCTTTTTCTTCTGTTTTGGCTCAATCTGAGAATAGATGCAAACAAAATCTTTATTTGAGTCAGAGCAAAATCCTAAATCCATATATTGCTAATAGTTTTCCAATAAATAAAGTGATGTGCAGGGATTATATTTGTAAAGATTCTTCTTTTTTTTTTAAATAGTTTGAGGTTTTCTTGTGCGTAATGGATAATTATTTATTGAAAATAAGCTGTCAAATTAGAGGCCTTTCTGCAACACATCAAAGTATTTCATACAGTTTCTTTAGTTCATTGAAGAAATAATTCATCAGCCAGACTTCTTCAAAGAGGAAACTTTACAGTAACGCATTTGCAATAATGAAATTACGCACGGACACGCGTATTCTGTTCTTTTAATGATAATCAATAAGGCCATTATACTCATAAATATCACTAATACAAGAGTCCCTAAAGAAATAAGAAGCTTTTTCTTTCGTTAAGAAATGAACTTCATTGATGCCGCAGTTTCTGTGGAAAACTTAAAAACTCTCTCAGACCACGTGTCCTTTTGAAAATATTTTTTTTTTATTTCGATAGACAACAACGATATACACATACAATCAAAGCGCTATAAAAGCCAACATTTAAGAAAAATAACTTGTCCTTAAAAAAGATTGCATCTAAGGTAAGAGCTTTACGTTTTGTTGTTTTTTTTTCGTTTTTTTTTCCTTTTTACAAGAGCTGTGGAGATTGAAGATTAAAACCCGACCCACGACACATAAATCACAACTCATAAATTTGACCCAAAAAAAATAAAAACAAACAACAAAATAAAGAGGAAAAAAAAAACAAAAAAAACATTTTGGCTATACGACATGTAAACTGCCAGACCGATTCACAGGAGAGAAAATCACGACAAACACAACAATAAGTTACATTAAAATAATTCCAATAAATAAATAAATAAACATATGATGAAAAATATTGCAACAATCTTCAATAATAATAATAATGATGATGATAATAATAATAATAATAATAATAAAATATGTGCCAGCATTCAAAATTAAAACAATCTATGTTGACTTTTTTCTTCTTTTTTTAATTAAGGCAGTTATACAGCGGGATTTGGATGTGTATGTAGGCTATTTCAGACTATCTGTATACTAAAGGCATTTGTGGTTCTACTAAACAGGGAATTCTTCAGTCACTCTTTTTTCCTTTCCTTCTTTTTTAAAATCCCCATCAAGACAATGAAGTTCTGTCGTTCACAAACTAGCGTAAAGCTACAGTGATACAGCAATCACGGTCGGTGAATTGAAAAAAAGGCTTTGATGGGGAGGGGAGAGGAGAAAAAAAAGGATTTCTGAGAATTTTAAGACATTTCTTAGGTCTAGAAGCTATCGTTGAGCATGTGCTGTCCTAGAAAAATACCCTTTAACAGTCAAACTAACGCTTTGTATTCTTTTTCTTTTACTTGATAAACTAATTTGAGAAAGAAAATCTCAAAATAGGCCTATATGTAGTTCAAATATAGAGAGAAGCATTCAACAATCACTGATTGGCATGGAAAAGACACCACTGAAACATCAAACCGCCCTGCCCTTCATTGGCCTAAAGTTATGGCAGTGAGCATCACAAACTCTTTGTTTTGTTTTTTTTTGTTTTTGTTGTTGTTGTTTTTTCTTTTAACCCCAAAGCCACTTCTTTTTTCTTTTTTTTTCCTTTTCTAAATTTCAACCCATCAAAGGCACAAGTTCTGTGTTGTCTTCAGCAGGCGGGGCGCACCGGCATTTGGAGCAGGATCACCTGCCTGTTCTCCGAGGGGTGGCACTTGTTTATGTGCCTGGTGAGCCCCGGCGAGCTGTACAGAGTGGCGGGGCAGTATTTGCACGGGTAGATCTGGGAGGAGTGCATGAGGCGCAGGTGTCTCTCCTGGCCGGCCCTGCTGGTGAAACTCTCCCCGCACACCGGGCACAGCAGGCAGTCCACCGGGCTCAGGTTGAGGGGGCTTTGGTTTGACGCTTCCTCTGAGGATGAGGAGGATGATGATGAGGATGATGATGATGATGCTGAGGAGGAGGAAGAGGAGGAGGAGGAGGAGGAGGAGGAGGTTGACACCGGAGGCTGCTCTGCCGCGCGGTCGCCGGTTTGAAACCCGTGCTCCTCCAGCACTTTCTTTTGCAGGGCCTGGTGTCCCATGATGTGTTTTCTTAGGTATGCCTGTCGCTTAAACCTCTTCCCGCAGAACTGGCAGTCGTATGAGCCGTCTTCAGAGCCCGACTCGGACAGACCTGGGCTCGGGGTGTCTCTGTCACTCATGTCTTTGGCTTCGTCGGAGACTGACTTGACACCCAGCGGTGGCATTTTGGCCATTTCGGGTTTGATGCCCTGTGCGGGTGGCATCGCCGGTGCGCCGGTGGTCCGCGGTTTGTGCCAGCGGCGGTGAGAGGCGAGGTTTGCCGGGCAGCTGAACATCTTGTCGCACTCAGGACACCGGTACTCGACCCTGACTATGCGGGAGCACTTGTGCTGAGCCAGGGAGAAGGGATCCGCGTACGCCTCCTTGCACAGCTGACACACAAACTCCCCCAAAGGCTTGTTTCCTCCGGAGGACTGCGTCCTCGGCTTCATCTCCACCGGCCCCTCTTTGATTTTGAGACCGAGCACCGGAGAAGTCGTCACCTCGTCTTCAAAGTTGAGTTTTCTAATGGCTTTGGGTTTCTTGGAGGCGGGTTTCGATTTACGCTCTGCTCCATCAGCTGCCGGTCTTTTGGTGCCGACCCGGTTGCTTGGTCCCGGGAGGCTGCTGGTGGTGCCGCTGCGGCTGCTGTTGCTGGTGCCGATTTTCAGGTCGACCGGAGCGTACAGGAGATGGTCCAGGCCGGAGAGGGAGGCGGGTGTTGGGAATGACTCGGCAGAAATAGGCGAGCCCAGATTGAAACTTCGCTCGAAATATCCCCTGTCGTGCTCCTTGCTGATGGGCCGGGTGGGGCTGTAGAGGGCTTGGCACACCGCTTCTGGGTTACCGAACTGTGCCGGCTTCTCCAGTCTTGGCACCGGCGCGTCAGCTGCGGTGAAATCTGGCGATGCTGAGGCGCGGTCCGGACTGGACGCCACGGACATCGGCGGGGAGGGGTCCGTCTGACTCGGCAAGGCAGCTGGGGTGGGTGGCTCCTGGAGGTCATCATCGTCTGACCGAGTCCTGTAGGAAACATGTGCAGATTTCTTGTTTCTTTTTACCAGGAATCCTTTGGGCATCTTGGCGAGTAACAGCGGAAAGGCACTTCGGGGAGGTGGTTGAAGTCTGGAGTATCCAGGTTGGTTAAAAATATGGCAACACTAGAAGCTTATGGGACTTTATCTCCCCAGTATATCGATCCTTCTGTTGCTGAAATGTTTTCGTCTCCAAGGCATAGCTCCACTCTTTTTATGCCGGAATGATGCTATTGTTCTCGCCCCCCCTGTTGCAGCATCCCCGACCAATAGGATGAAACCAAGATCCCAGTGGATTTTATTGTGGGAGGGCTCAGAGCCTGGGTTTGGTGGATTTCGTTGGAGGATGTGCAGATAGCTTAGCAGATGTACTGGCGGTTTATTACATTAATGTGTGCGCTCAGCCCCTCCCCGGCAGAGGCACACGCCGGGACCCTCCTCTTTTTACGGTCTGATGGGCCCCTACACAAATGCACACGTGCCACTGCTTTGTGGCTCTCCTCTGGGGGCCACGGAGCTGCCAAAAGGAAATGTCCGTCACTGTCACAATCATCACAGTTTAGAATTAAGACGAGTTTGGTTAAATCCAAACCCGGAGTTCTGCTTCCTTCCATTTCTGCTGTGATGTTGGTCAAAGAGGCGCATTTGCTGTAACCACGTCTGCAGTGCACATTCTCCCCAGATTGGTTGTTTTTAACCTCCAAACGCTTCACAGTTGTTTATTTTTTCTCTCCACGTTCCAGCCACTTTTACGCACGACCTTTACGCACTTTACGCAGGCCTAAAACAAACAGCTTTTTTTATAGAACTTTATTTTATTATGTCTTAAATAAACACTACAGAGGGAGTGTTTCTTTATTTTAGGGCACGTGTCTGTCTCGGTAGTTTAACTCGACATATAAATCAGACATCTCGCTGCATACATAAGTAATAAGAAGGCCCTCTGGTCTTTGTGCACAATAGCCACGTCTGCCCGTGCTTGGATATCCTGTCTTTTTTTTTTTTTTTCGTTTGAAAGGCAAATTGACCTCTTAACTGTGAAACGGGACTCACGGCCAATCTGGCCCACAGCTAGACGCGTGCTGGGCGGAATCAGGACTCCAGACAAAGAAGGCCGCAGCCGAGGCTTGTGTTGGAAAATGCTGCACAAATATTCAGAGCTCAAATGTTGCAGCCTGGAAGTGTTTGGACAAATATGCGCAGTTTTTTAGGATTCTTAGATTAGAAACTTATCCTGTTGCGTTGTAATAAACTTGTTAATTAAACAAGATTTTAATTTCTTAAAACATCACTTTCAGTGAAACAGTCCAAGCCTCCTTTGTTCCAAACACAACTTTTTCAGCAGCTGTGACCCATTTTCTTTACCAGCTATGTTTTCTGCGCATATCTCACATATTGTATATTTGTCTGCTTTTTTTTTTTTTTTTTTTCCATCTCCTTATAATGACAAAATGTATGCGGCGGTGCGCCACTTGGCAGAGAGTGCATTCTTTCCCCTTTCAGTCGGCAGACCAGGGAGGAATTAATCTCCATCGTCGTACATTGTTCCCCTCATTTGCATAAAGCTGCAGTATGACCAAGTCAAATAATTACACAATCGGAGCTGAGCCGCAGGCCTGTGCCTTCCTTTCAATGGGCCTCTGTGTCCCGGTGCCTTCTCACCTGCCTCCAAACACACCGTTATGTTGGTGAAGGTTAAATGGAAAAATTTGGTTCAACTTTAAAAACGTCTAATCAAATAAACAAACAAACAAAAAAGTTATTCTTAAGATAAAGTTTAAACTAAATGGAAAGTTTAAAAAAAATCAAGTTCATAATAATGACATTTTCTGTGAACTTTGGAGTCACCTGGTTTTTTGGTTTTTGGGGTCTCCAGGTGTGATTTGTACATTTCCTCTAAACTCCAAACTCACTAGTTGTGGCTGCGCCGAGTTTGGCTCCTCTGCTCGGCTCCTTGTTGTTCTTTGAGGCTGCGCAGCTATTAGTCGTGGTTTGTTGGGACGACAAGCTTTGATGGCATTTTAACGAGTTCCTCTTTCCCCCGAGATCATTTCTGTGGGGCGCGTGGGCCTTGGCCACACTGACGCATGCGCGTGTTTGCTCAGTGGCGCGTGCTGCCCCGCGCGGACGGGAAGCATAGGCGCCTAATTAGCATACAGCTGCAGCAGCTTTAATGCAGGCTGCTCCACATCCTCCTCCAGCCCTGCTCAGGCTATAGGATGGAAACGCTGCTCTCATTTCCCTCGTGCGTTTAGGTTCTGGTGCCAATGTTGTTCCATGTAAAAGTGGAAAATACATCAATAAGAAGAGCTTTCACATGTTTTTTCAGTGATGTGAAACCACATTTCTTTACAATAGAGCTAAATGTGTGCAGCTTTCTACAAGCAGTGCACTTAAAACTGAAGCCTGAGCTGTTGTAGTTTATGACTAAACTGTAGAACCACAAGTCTGAGCTGAAGATTACACTCGGAAAGGCTATTTAAGGCTCCTGCACTGTAAAAGAGATGAAGCTGAGGTAAAGTGCTGTGACCATGGTGGTTTACTTTGGTGAATTCTAGCAACTTCAAATTACACCTCGTACCTTTAAACTGGTGTTGTAATTTAAGCAAAGGTGTAAAACAATTGACGTTTACTGCTTCTTTAGCTTTGTGTGTCTGATCTCAACAGTTTCTGCTGCTACTCAACTACTGTTTTGTTGAAGTAGGAGTAAAGACAAGACAAGAACGTCAAGTCTAAAGACAAAATCACATTTCAATGTGGAAAAACTGGAAACTTCAAGTTGACTTTCATTAACATTAAGTTGCAGCAACGCACACTGTTTGTTTGAGAGGAATCAAATGATTGAAGTCCATCTAATTTAAACCAGGAGCATTTATAATTAAATTATGTGTTAACAGTTGAAGGAATTCATTTAAGTTACTCACACAAAACTCTCTTTTTTTAATGTATTTCCGTCCCCTAGTTTGTTACAAGATAAATAAATCGAATTGACTTATTATATCAACTTTTAAAGTTGCAAACATTCTTTTAACGGGTTGTGTTGACATCATATTGGTGGTAATTGCATCAGCTTAATACTCTGTGTAATTTAAACTAAAATTTCTGCATTAGTTGATTCAAAACTAAATCAAACTCACCGTAATTTTTAAATATTTTTTGTTCACCTTGAGCTCATGTTAAGTCCTTTCTTGTATCTTAACATGCCGTAACAATCACAGACAGTTCACACTAGTAAAGACAGATACCTGTGATTGCAGAGGAAACTCTATTTCCTCTCTTTCAATGTAGTTTGTTCATTCAAAGTAATTTCATTAGAATATTTTATAACACAATAAACAGGAACTGTTGTGTTGATTGTTTTCGTTGAGGCCAAACATTATTTTTAGAGTAAAATCCATCTCTGAGCGTGTCAGAGCTCAGTTGTTACTTCATTGCACCACCTACAGGATGAAGGTTTAATCCTGAGGACGCGGGGGAAGTTTACCTCCAGTAACCAAAGCGTTCTGCTCTGATCTCTTTGCAGCCATCACCGTGTTGTTTCTGTTAAACAGTGGTTACCAGGGGAGCTGTGGAGCAGTTTGGTTATTTCACAAAGATTAGATTACAGTTATTCTCACCGTAGTCGTACAGAAACCTCCTGTACTTCCCAGATGAGTGATTGCCTCCTTGTGCCGTGCCAACCTCAGCCAATTTGAAAGTGCAATAGGACATGACTGTAATTGGTGCTCACGACAGGACCACCTTCAATGCACTGTCAATCAATTATTGTAATGGATTAGCTGAGGTCCTATTCTGGCTGGTTGTAATCTGATAGAGGGCTCTTTCAGCACCATGGAGAGAGCCAGCGAGGGCTCCAGATTTAATCAGACTGGCTGTAGAACAGCACAGCCCCGGCTTCAGCCTTTGTCCCCAAAACTGAGAGCAGGCAGGAACCAACAAGAGAACAAAGACACAGTAGAACAAAAGAGCTGGAGTTTAATGAAGTGATTGGTTTTTAAATATAGTTCTAAATGGGCTTGTTCCAAAACACATTTCAACTGTTTCTACAAAAGGAAAACAACTGAAAACTGCACCATCGTGACCAAAATGTCTTCTGTCCTATTCAGTCATTTACTGTTTGAATATTTTCAATTGATATGTTGTTTAGTGATCTATCAGTTTGTTCTGATGCTAAATGAATGTGTGCATACGGTGTGCTATTTTATGGGGGTTTCTGCTTTGTAATATACAACAATTAATTGCTCTGCTGGGAACTGAGAGCATTTATCTTTTCCCACAAAATAAAGTGCTGTTGCTACTTGTTGAAACACACTTTTAGGATATGGATTGTTTCCAGTTAAGGCAAATAAATAAATAAATAAATAAAATAAAAATCATGCTTACTAGGATCCAGTTTCAGTGGAGGTTTTATGAAGCTTTTTTGGTGCTTTATTTTGCAGTTTGGATAAGAAAACAGTAAATGCAACTCTTTCTTATACGGGATAAGATATTTATGGAAAGAAAGGAATAATCGCTTTTGAAACTACCTGTACATCCCTGTGCTATAAGTGAGCCAGTTATTTTTTTGGCCTTCTTGTCTTTATTAGATAGGACAGTTGAAAGAGAGACAGGAAAGTCGGGGAGGAGAATGGTGGTAGCGGTTGCAGCAAAAGGCCATGAGTGGGATTTGAACCCATGGCCGCTGCATCGGAGACTGTAGCCCCTGTACATGGGTCGTCAGCTCAACCAGGTGAGCTAAAGCAGCGGCCTGAAACCAGTTTATATTTATGGTGAATGCAAACCGATTTGGTTCAGATGATACTTGAGATGCTTAGTCTAATGTTTTCTGGGGCAAGACCCTTGTCGTGCCACAGTTAACCTGGAGCCACGGTTTGGGTCACACATCCTTTATTCCCTGGAAAACCACCTGTAAACAGTTTTAGAAGAAGTATTCAGGTCTGTTACTTAAGTAAAAGAAGCAATACAACAATTTAAAATACCCCAAAATCTTACATTCAAAACCTGATCAAGTGGAAGTATGTGAGTATTATCAGCTAATTGTACTT